ACGCAGAAATCGCTGCAACAAACACGAGATGTGGTTTATTGCAAAAAAGAACTCTCTGTTGTCACCTGACCGAACACCAATCATTTTACACAATGTTTTAATAAATTTTGAAGTATTGGGGTCCATGGGTCCAAGGACCTCGATACATATTGGCAAAAAATCTATGGAAGGCAGGGCGTGTTCATATTTTTCAATTTTTTCGTCCGATGCCCTGATTGCAGCCAAACCACACTCTTTGCTGCTAAGGTGAACGTAGCGCTCGGCCAAGGTACCAGGAACCGTAACATCCCAAGCTAAACATTTACCGGCTCTCCAGGGAGTATGAGTACAACCGTCTGGTCGCTTGCCATGTTGCACTAAAATGCCAGATGGTTCCTTCAAAAAAGGAATAGAAGCTTTAGAAAAAAGCCGGCAAATGTAATCATTCAAAGCTGAATGACGAAGTTGACGGCCTCCACCTAAACGGCAAACCAAACCATGATAACCAAATTTGTCCGCCTCCGCGCCGCAACGACACAGATATTTATTTTGTATACTTAGGCAAAGTCTGAAACCAACGGCAAATCTAACAAACTCGTCATCGAGTCTGGTGCCTACGGAAGTGTTGGTCCACGACCTCAACCAACCACAACTAACATCACAAGTTGCAGCCAATAAGCGGGCGGAGGAAGAAGCACCGACACCAGAAGACAGAAGTTCATGAAAAGTCTTCTTATATTGCTCATCTAAAATTTGAGCTTGTGAAGGGTTTTCAGGTGTGGTAAGTATGTATGTATTTCAGATGTATGTATGTATGTATGTATGTTTGTATGTATGTATGTTTGTATGTATGTATGTATGTATGTTTTGATGTATGTATGTATGTATGTATGTATGTATGTATGTATGTATGTATGTATGTATGTTAAAACCAAAACATGATGAGTGACACTGAACCGTCAAACATCAAGTAACAAATGGATTAACACTTTGATTTGTCGTTAATTGCACATGTCGGCATTCAGTTGGATATTTTCAAGCACACAGACACGCAGGAACCGCTGCAACAAGCACGAAATGTGGTTGGTTGCAAAAAACAGTTCCCTGCTGTCACCTGATCTGACACTGATCCTTTTGCCTATTTCCTTAAGAAATTTAAGGGTGTTGGGGTCCATCGGGCCGAGAACCTCGATGCATATTGGCAAGAATTCCATCGAGGGGAGGGCTGTGAATAAATTATAATATTGATAAAAAAACAAAAAACGAGAAAATTGGCCGAGGCAGGGCAGAAAAACGATAAAAAATGACGGAAAAACAAACCCGGGACAAAACTACAGCCGATGACCCTAAAAACCATCCATAAAAACAATCTAAAATCTATGAATTTAGCAAAAATAATCAGGAAATTAAAACAATCCAGCCGGCCTTGAATGTGAACAATACGTATGTCTGTATGTATGTATGTATGTATGTATGTATGTATGTATGTATGTATGTATGTATGTATGTATGTATGTA